ATCCGATCCGTTCCCGTTGGAGCTGTCCCCATGACAAGAATACCCCCGATATTTCCCTCGATCGAACACAAAAGTTGAAGGTCCTCCAACAACAACTTCGAACGTAAAAATAATCTCGGTCACGGAAGTAACTGCTCGTTTCCCGCGCTCAAATCCATAACGACGACGAAGCATCCCGTTATTGGGAGACTTCACGAAAGGCAATCGAAAAATGGCCCACCAGTTATCAGGCATTGGCTTCGGCTCTGAAAAATCATCTTTGGCCAAAATACTCAAAAAATCGGGTGTGAATGACGACTTTCCATTCGAAGACGTAATCATTGCAACATCCCATGCGAGACCCTTATTATTGTAAAAATATGTTTTCGCCGCCGGAGCCTCCTCATCAAAAATGGGTGGACCGTCGTAAATTGGCCCGTCAACGTGATCCTCGGCGAAGTCAAGAATATCAGCGTGAAACGGGCTCACCCATTGACCAAATTCGCGGCCATAATCGCTCTCCACAAGCCCAAAATTCGTAGCTAATGCACACGCCCAAAAAGAAGGAAAAATTCCATTCATATTTTTGTCCCAATCAATAGAATTGGGCCTGCCGTCCTCAGGCTTAAAGTTGTGAAAAAAATCCCTATCTCGTGTCATACGGCTCTGCTCATCGCCATACCCTTCTCCATTACATTTTTGTTTCTGCACCTCTGTCACTCCTCTGATGAATCCGAAAAATTGAGCACCCTTAGGCCCAACCTCAGTCCATCTGCCTCGTTGTTCATCGCGGCCGCCGTCACCGGCGAAACTTGCAGCAGCACGACGCCGATCTCCCTCCCAGGTTGCACCACGGCCGCCGTCTCCTCTCCTCAGATCGCGAGCTTGAAAGTCGCCAGAAAAACCCTCAAAAGCCGTCGCGTTCCCGCTGTCGCGCCGCCCATCTCGGCCGCCGTCACCTATTTAATAAAACATCTAAAACATCTACAGTAGTTAATTATTATTATTATTATTATTATTATGAACTCCTTGGTGAAAATTTTAGATGTTTTATTAAATAGGTAAAATTAAATGCTACGCTAGCAATTATATATACATACATATATATATATATATATATATTAATAAAAAACAATTGTTTATAAGATTCTAAAGTTGTTTAACTATACTATTAAAATAATTTACTAATTGTTTTTAAAGAAATTTTTTAATGAGATACAAAAGAAAAAGATAATATTGATGTTAAAATACATAACTTGAAACAATTGTTTATAATTATGTAATTTTTATTTATTGTGAATTATTATTAGTTGATATTAGCAATAACTATTATATAATATAATAGAAACATATACATGATTACACTCATTAAGATGTATTAATGTGAGAAGTAAAAAATATTAATGATAAATTTTGTAACCGAAAATGGAGGGAAAATTTTAGAGGTTTTATTAAATGTTTTATTAAATGTTACATGCCAGCAATTATATATATATATATATATATATAGATTTGTTCTTTATTATGGCAATTTGGTAAACCCTCAAAGCTAGTCTATATTTATAAATATATAATTTGGCAGAACAATATTTAATTTTATTTTAATGCATATAATTATATTTTCTCTTCAATTTTTTCAACATTTAATTATCTATAAATATATAAATTTGGAGCAACAATAAATTTTATTCCCATGCATTTAATTATATTATCCTTCCAAAATTTTCAGCATTCAATTATATTATTTCAATTCCTGCAAAAGCAGTTACTATTTTTCTCTGCATTTAATTACATTATCTCCTACGAGTCATTGGTTTTACTGTAATTACCATTTCTCTTATTTACTCAAAAAGTGTAAAAGTGTAAATAACTATCCTTTTTCATATTTGTTATTTATATTAGTTAAATAATCTAATTTGTTTTACCGGCTTAGCAGAAGAAAAAAATAAATTGATCTTGATTAACTTAACTAGTATTCTACCTGTGCATTTGCACAAATATAAATAAAATATTGTGAGTTATTTGCACTATAAAATAAATGTTATATTCCAACGGAAAATCCTATGGTAATATATTCCAATGGAAATTCCAACGGATATTCCAATGGAATAGCTTCCGTTGGAATAGTTCCAACAAAAATTCCAACGGAAATATTCCATTGAAATGTGTTTTTCATTGGAATTTTAGATGGAATTTAATGATTCCAACGACTATAATTCCAACGGCTTTTTAACGTAGGAATTTCCGTTGGAATATGCAAATTCCGTTGGAATTTTTTTTCCACCCCCGTTGGAAAATCCACCGTTGAAATCGTCAAAATCCAACGAAAATTCCAATGGAAAACCCATTCCAACGGAATATTTTCGTTGGAATTTCCGTTGGAATCCATTGAAAAATTCCAACGGAAATAATAGTATTGAAATATCCGTTGGAATAACTATTTGAAATATATTTCCGTTGGAATTTCATCATTTTTTTGTAGTGTTGTATGCATATAATGATTAATTATTTTTCTTTCACATTTTTGCAGCTAAATTTACAATTAAAGGAGTTAATTTTTTTTTTTAAATTGCGTTTATTAGATTAGATGTAACGTATATTTTGATATGTATTTTTTTTTTAAAATTATTTATAATTTATTTAGGAGTTTCATATACTTTTTTTATTTTCCAAAAAAAATAATTTACATGTAACCACAATAATAATATCTAATCACATTATACAGTAACACATTATATGATTAACTGTGAGTATTCAAAAGTTGAAAATGATTTTTGTATTTTAAATTGATTAGTGTATTGATTATCTATTAATTAGGTTAAATAAATGAAAAGTAACGGTTCTTGGGGGGAAAATGTAAAAGTGCCACCTAGGTATAATTTAAGAGGTTTTCTTAAATGTAGAAGAGCTAGTAATTATATATATATATAGATTTATTTGTTTTTTTTTTTTTTTGTATTGAGTTCAATTTGAATATATATATTTCTTTTGCTTTACCAAATCGGGTCAATTAAACAAATAGCCTTATAGAGAATATCGGACAGTTAAACAAATAGCCCAAGTCACATTTACAAATTTTTTAATAAAAAATTAAATCCAATTCACCATATTTTTTAAGTATGTTATCCAACCAAATTTGACAATTGTTCATAATGCAATTATTTGTTCAGTACGTAAATAATTTGGACCCAGATGTTTACATTTGCTGACAATTATAATAAATTCGACATACATTTTATTATTCCTTATTTGTTTAAGGGTTCCATTCAAGTTTCAACATAAACAATCTTCTATCATGGTCTCATATGCTATGAAGATCAACATGAGTCAAGACCGGTCTCTCTCTCACACGTCCGCTTAGTCTTGAAGAACTCAATCATGGACAGTTGTATGTTGCTCTATCTAGAGTGACGAATTGAAAGAGTTTGAAGATAATGATATGTAGTGATGATGATTCCGATGATAGAAAAACTATAATTGTTGTATACAAATAAATGTTTAATAAAATTTAGAATCATTTTCTTAATTCATATTTTATCTTGAATTAAATTATGGTTATGTATTTTTTTTATATTGTTATCTTTTCTACGTATTTTTCTCCGTGCAAATGCACGGGTTGATCACTAGTATATATAATTGTTGGCATGTAGTATTTAATAAAACCTATTTAATAAAACCTCTTAAATTTTCCCTTCATTTTCGGTTACAAAATTTGTCATTTATATTTTTTACTTCTCACATTAATGCATCTTAATAAGTGTAATCATGTATGTTTTTATTATATTATATAATAGTTGTTGCTATTACCAACTAATAATAATTCACAATAAATATAAATTACATAATTATAAACAATTGAGTTAAGTTATGTATTTTAACATCAATATTATCTTTTTCTTTTGTATCTCATAAAAAAAAATTCTTTAAAAACAATTAGTAAATTGTTTTAATAGCATAGTTAAACAACTTTAGAATCTTATAAACAATTATTTTTTAATAGTAATAATAATAATAATAATAATAAAACTGTTAATATCTAATGATAATAAACAATTATTCATAATAATAAAATCGTTAAATTTTTTTTCTTAATGATCAAATTTTTAAAAATGTAATATGTTCATTATCTAGAATTTTAATATTAAATTCTCAAATATTACTTATTATATTTTATGTAAATATGTACATGTGCACAGGATATCTACTAGCTTGTAATTATCCCCACAATATATCATACATAAAAGCCAAAAAAAAAAAAAAAAGTCTAGCGAAACTGGATTCGGTCAAAATATTGTTTTTATATAGAGAACTTGAGCTGGAGCTAAACCTATGAACGAAGAATATTTACGAACCAAACTGAAATCTCAATTAGCTATCAAATACACATGTGGTTGCCTTTGTACTGTGAGCCTCTCTCTCCAAAAAGGCATAGTTGAAGGGAGAACTGTAGAATAAAAGGGTGTGTGTGTGTGTGTGTGTGTGCGTATGATCACATTTTCTGCAGAAAGTGTGTATTTCTTGAATGAAATTGATTGTTATGATCAATGTGCCTGCAAATCTGCACCATTCTTGGAAAAATGAGGAAACATAGTTCTACTTGTATCATAATAATCCAGGTGAGGTGCACTTTTTGAGTTTTGGACAGAAACACATGTTAGTTTCCAGAAAGCACAAGAATTACATGGTACAAGCCTGTTTTGCTTGAAATAACTGCAAACCCATAGCAACTTCAAAAAGAAATGTACCCATGGCTTCTTAATATATCAAATAAAAAAAAAATTGTAAAAATTCATCTTTCCATTTTTTCCTTTGAAACAAGAAAAGGTAATGAACAATCTACAAACCGAGTTTCTTGGGCCTCAAGTAAGTCGATGACCCCGACTTTAACCCAGGCAT